AGAGCGAGGGCGCAATGACCACAGATACTTTCCAATTAAAGTCGGAACGAAACAAAAGGCTGTCTGTATGTGTATAGGTGTACATTATGTGTGTGTGCGCGACGAAGAAAAAGGCAGAGCGTCGGGCCAAGTCAACTTTCCGCAGCATCGTTGTCGCTTTGTGTCGAGCTTGCAGCGGCAGCAACGACCTTGTACTCGTCTCATCTTCTCTTGTCTGTGCGAAGCTCTATACACAAGAGCGAGCGTACGTCTATACACACAGCAGCAGCAGCGGTGGTTCTCTCTTTACCTCTCTGTTGCTGTCACTGGATGGCTAGCTTCGCCGCTATCTTTCACTGAAACTGGGTGCAGGTGTAATTGTTCTGGCGTGGTCTCGTCTCTTTGCTTGGCCGTTCAGCTCGTGCGCGACGTCCAACAGCATCGAGCTCGCTTGTCGCTGTGGTGACTGATAACGAAGTGCCAGGAAATCATGATGACCCGTTCGGACAAAGTTTGTTGTTGCATGATTGATTCTCTTGCCGACAGGCTTCTCTCGCCTCCCAAACCTTAGCTAGCCTCTCGGCGAAAGACGAGACAAATGATTGGGCTCTTCTGAACGAGCAAAATCTAAATGACTTTGCCCCTTGTTCGCCTCCGAGCTTCTGTAAAATTTCTCACCATTCATTGTATGCGTGCGACTCGAAAAATAAAGTTCTGAAATTCCCGGCAACTTTTTCATTTCTAAATAACTGTGAAATCGATCTTATATTATTGTGCAATCAATATTTTACATATGCGTCGGCTTATGCGCTTGTGCTCGATTAAACAATTTCAATTTGATGATTAAACATTCGCTGTGACTCTCTTTCGCTTTTTTCAATTAAAAGCGAAAATATAATATTTTTACGGCTATCTGAACTTGCTGGCCCCGGCACGAGTTAATGTGTACGAGTGTACGTATACTATCGTTCGTGCACTGATTTTTTTTCTTCCATTTTCATTCCGAGCGAGTGGTCACGCACATTGCGTGAACGGAGCGCATTTACATCTTTTACGTATGATTTAAAAAGTATTAGCACGCCAAGCGAACTTTTTTATTCTTTGCTCGTACTGGCCAAAAAGATTATGATAAGCGTTGCATTTTACAATGTATACGCCTAAATAACTTTATGATAAAGCCTTATCTGCTGCATAAAATCCGCGAGTGTATGTTTATACATACGTACTGCTCTTACTACGCTATAAGGTTGTAATTCAAAAAAAGGAAATGCGCTTTGTTTGTAACTACATGCCAAGCTTCGGCTTTTATTTAATAACCAGAAACACTATTGCATGTCAAAGATTTTCATTCGTATTTCAGTATAATTAATCTAACAACTGATATTAACTGTACAAAAGTTACTTTGTCTATCGCGATAGCTTGCGATAAAATGTTTTAAATTTTTTATTTTTAAAATTATCTTTTGCATGCGAAAAAATCGCGATACGTCGAATCATTGACAAATACGCGAATAAAGCTCTGTGTGTTATATCGTAATGACCTGAATTGAATGAGACATTTTACCGAGCCCTTCACGTAGATACATTGAAATTTGAAATGGAGATTTGTATTTAAGCTCACCGCACTCGCAAGAGGGTTATTCTGGCTAATCATAATTTTACTTACAGATTCGTAGAGATAGAGGAAATTTTCACTGAAATCAATTCACCATCTGTCATGTCTCTAGATCGCTTCAAAAGTCGAATAGTCCTACAGACAGGCCAAAACCATAGTTTAACAAATGATTGAATAACTGCGTACTCTTTGATTCTCGAAAAGTTCCCCAAATAGTTTAGCATTACGCGTACACACAACTATATACCCCCGCACGCGTTGTAGAAGTTTCCCCATTGTATTGTACTAATGAAGTCCGTTGAATCATTTCGCTCTCTTTCCCTTTCTCGCTTGCACGCGCTGTCTCGCTCTCAACCACCCTGTATTGTTCACTGAATAAAAGTGCGCGCACCTTTTAAGGTAGAACAAAAAGATCTGTTGTGCCAAGAGAGTTATGCACTTTGCTCGCAGCAATGGTGCTAATAATACGTTTTTCCACTCGCTTCTCTTTTTCTTTTGGAACGCGACTTGATTAAGATTCGAGAAAATGATTTCACATTATTTACTTTCTCGCGCGAGGCTGCTTTCAACCAACGGCAAAATTAACAATCTTTATTAAAAGTCTATTTATTTGCATTCAGTCACTTGAGGTCAAGGAATTAGTCCAATAAAATATTTCCCTGCCTTACCTATTATAAGGTGATGCATTGATATTGGCTTGCCCTTTGGTCGAAAGCAACAGATCATAATTGCGTCATAAGAACAGGCGAATTTTCGTTTTTCCTTTTAGTTCGGCTTTATCCATCTCTTTATCTTTACCATAAATCATACACAGCTCTATCTGTGTACTTTGAAGTTTACGACAAAGACTGGCGGCGAAATGTGAAGAAACATGAGCAAGCGCGCAAACTCGGAATAAAAAAGAACTCCAGAGCGCTCGCTCGCGCAACCAAAACACGAGTTAACGTTGCATGTATATATTTGTGTACATTGTGTGGATGCCACAGAATAACAAGCCATTCTTCATTTTATCTTTTGCAAGGCAGCGCATAAAGAGTTGACGTTTGCAGAAAAACAACATCGTGCAAAAGCTTAAAGGCTACTCCCGCAGACGCTCGTGCGTGGCTATATTTTCGAGCATCCTTTGCAACATCTTCTTCGGTATATGTTTAACATGTAGTTAGCTCGCACACGCAAGAGGAAAAAGTAGGCTAATAGTACAAAGGCTAAAAGCGCTTGGGACAGCGAGTTTTTCTGCTCCATCGCGCTCTGGGTCACCAGCATTGCGATGCGTCTCCCTCTCTTTCTCTACCATATAAACTTTCGGCGAACAAGTAATTCGTTGCAATTTATATACAGAGCAGAGATGACCCAGCAGAGGTTCGCACACACCCACACCCACGCACAAAACCAGTAACAGAACGTATCGCTTGCAAAGCTCGTTATCCAAACTTGCTGCGTTATGAGAGAGAGAGAGAGAGAGAGCGGGTTCGGGAGAAATTTCCCTCTCTGTGCGCAGTTCTCATGCATTGCAGCTGTGCATAGTGCGCACTACTGCTGGACGCACATACATACGATCGTATCACGTCGATGAGTCGGAACACACTATCTAAAGCAGTACGACACGGCTATAGCCAGTGTATGCGCGCGAGCGAGCTAGGTAGAGAGTAGAGTAGAGAGAAGGAGATAGAGGGCCAGAGCTTGCACAGTTTCTGCGTTCGATAAACTGCCTGTTACGGTAATTTCTTCTACACAATGCTTTGCCTCGCGCTATGCCTGTATACACGTACGTTATGTGTACGACGAGGCACCGAGAGAAGAACGTTATTACCGTCGCTAGCTCGCTCGCTCGCGTTTCTGTGTAAGCTACCGAGACTCTCTGCTGCGTATATAACGTTAAACTGTATGAACGCCGAGTGCTTGAAAAATATCATTAAACTTGTCTAGGTGGATGAAAATAATGTGTGAAACTGTTTGTCATGCTTCGAGTTTGTTGTACTCTTTTTTTTCTCCTCTCTATACTTTCTTTTTTTCTTCTGCCTCTGTTAAGTACTTGTATTACTGAAAAAACAATTTTTTCGCAATTTTCTTTTATAAGATTGCAACTTGACTCGTAGCTCTCGGGTAACTACATTGTAGCCCGTCTTCCGATACTATGGCAATTGAGGTTTGTTATTATGATTTTCGAATGATTACTTTACAAGCACAAAAGAATGTTTGCTCTGACAACAAAGACCTGCGTCAACGTGATAATAACGTCGGAATTCACAATAATTTCAAGTTCTTTTTTCATTGTTTTTCATGTTGCGTTAAATTACGCTGTTGAAAAAATGCAATATTGAGACAAGACACGCTATTGTTATCTACGTAATCAATCGAGAAATCGGAGTAGTTAGTACTTTTGTTATGACCGATTCTGAGTAGACACTACTATTGGCATTAAATCTTCAAACTTTGAATGTCGAGACGCTCTCTATGTGGAGCTTCATCAAACCACGGGTACTTGCCATTGCTTTTCTAATGAACGAAAGCTCTTGCAGAAGCTCTTGCAGGAACTCGAGATGTCGGAATAAAGTTAACCTTCAAATCAAGATCGAAAATCGAGATTTGTTCTATCATTAAGTTGATGAGTTTCGTTTCGTTCTGCTAAAGGGTTTTAATTATAAAAAAATATATATCGGCCGTTCAACACTTATTTTTTTTACTCGTTTTAATACGTTTTGAAAAATATGAATAGCTGACGTCAGTCGCTTGGCCGTAAAATGCGATTTTTCAATGTAAATACTGAGCTATGCGCGACACGGAATGCATAAACACTTCTTGCAGTGATCCCCTCAGCATTTTTGCGCATCACTCGACTTTGATATCTTCGTTCTAGGGGCGGTGGCGAGTGAAGCAACTGAAAATTCATAACCGGCACACGCGCGCGTACGATATTACAATTTTTGCGCCGTCAGTCTCTGCCTTTCTTTACATTGCTGTTTCGTGCGTCATAATGGCGAACTCGAATCAATTCGTTGGAAATTCTATTTATGCATTGGATTTTCAAGTTATTAAAATCGAGTCGAAAATTTTTTAAATAAGATCGAGGTTGAAATAAATTTAAAACATTAATGAGCCGGAATTTATATTGGCTGATTGTTGAGTCGAAAAATTTTAATCATTGCCACATATTGCATATACATTGAATATATAATTTCTATAAATTCATGTCAGTATTAAGTCTGCCGTATAAAATGGAGCTGAATTTGCTTTTGTTTTTATTCGTGTAATCCAATTCAATTTCCATGGCATTGGAGTTTACGATAACATTTCACATTGACGGTAAAATAATTCAAGAATGCCAATAGGAATACATACAGCAGCCGTTTATCACATTTTTTCAATACGAAACATGAAAGTAACGTACACGATGATATGCTTTCAGACACCTTGAGCCTGGGTGAGCGGACAATGGAACCAGCTGAGAGGCATTCAAGTGCAAACAACAGGCCACGACAGCAAATGCTTGATACGACCACTGGTCAAAAGTCGAAGTTGGAACCAGGCTTTGATCTGATGCAACCAACCAACGTTACTTCACCGGTCGGCAAAACAGCCTATCTCACTTGTAGGGTTCACAATCTAGGTGATAAAACGGTAAGTTAATTACTTCCCTTTGCATGATTTTAATATTTCGAGAAGCTTTCTTGATTTTAAGTAATATTATTTTATATAGTGCTATAAAGTACTATTATAGCACTGTCCTAAGTTCAGATTTATGTCTTTTTCTCCGAGATATTATTAGCAATTTTTGGTACTGCGGATTGAGGTTAGCGCACAACCCCGCGAAGAGATGGAAAAGACATGATACCGTTTTGTACCGCACTTATGCCATAGAAAAGCTTGCAATAAATGTGAACTTGAGCTTGGTAGGGCTATAACTTACTATTAGTTGTCTAAATTTAATTTATTAAATTTATCAAACAGTCTTTATAATTTTCTTGTTCAACCGGTTACATGGAAAAGGTCTTAAAGGCTTTGGTAGTTTACAATTAAAAACTTTTTAGACTTATTTCAATTGAATAGTTCTCGAGGCAGCTCAAAGGTCTCGCTGAAGCAATACTGCAGCTTTAGGAAACTATAATCATCAACCCCATAAAGCAGTCCGGTATCTCACAAAAGGAAATTTATTCCTTATTACTGGAATAACCTTTCGTAATAGATCGAAATTATTTCTATACAATAACGTATTAAAGTTGTTTTCCTTCTTTGCTTCAATGATAATCACCCTTCATTCTCTTAAAAATTGGTTGAAATTTGATACAAAGTGAATTAAATGTTTTCGTTTTTCGAATTACTTGTTATACCTGAATTAAATTCATAAGAATTGAGAGATTTCTCGAGAAAATAGATTTTTCAGTTATTCACGGCAGTGGAAACACGATATCCGCACTATAAAAAGATAACATCTTACTGATATACCATATTCTTCAGAATAGTGTCGACGCCTGAAACTCATGCACTATAAGAAAGAAAAGACGACGCGCCTATATATATCTGCAACGAATCTCGCCACTATCAGATGTTTGCGCTTGGCGTCCAAAGAAAAAGAAAGTCAAAAGGTCTTTTCTGATATTTACGTCTATCGCTGGCAAGGGCTATACATTTAAACTCGACAGAATATGGGTTAGAGAGTCGCGTACGTGTGGAAGTGAGTATGCAGACGAGGGCGTGATGTGGCATCGTCGTCGACGTCGTCACGTTATCGAGACGACCAAGTGATCCAGTGCTTAGAGCGATTGTCCTCTTAAGCAATGTGTGTACGTGCCATTGCCTGAGTTCGATACGACGTGGGTACACGATATAGCAGCTAGAGAGAGAGAGAGATATATATATATAAAACACGTTTTCGAAGATAAGCTGCAGACGATAGTTGGGTGCCGTCAAGCCTTTTTTGTTATTTTTTTTCTGATTGGCTTTATTTATGCTTAATAGACGACATGGAAAATCTTTGGGAAAACTCGATAATACGTTTTTGAGATAAGTATTATTACAGGAACGTAATTATTTTGACGCATTTCACACCATGAACATTAATTCTATAGAGACAAGCAACATAAGATTTTGAAATGCGACCTGTACTTTCTTGTTTAACCCAATAGGTAAGGCCTAAGGCCTTTTTTTGATTTTAAGAAACTATAAAAATTTTTAAGTAAATCTGAGTTTCTGAGCTGAAGGTTTTTCCTGATCATATTAAAATTCACGCATTCTTAGTGCTCGTGCCCACGAATCAAAAATTAAATTGAAATTATTTTTTCGTGAAAAATTTACAAAAAATCAAAAAAGAATTCAAATCGTCAAAAAAATTCCTGTCCGCTTATCGCAAATGTTCGATACGTAATATAAAAGGCCGATATAAATATAGAAAGGTTAAAGCTACCGCTTTGGTCTACTCCTTTTTCTACTTCACGCGAGTACCTCGTAAATTATTTTCTACACTCTCAACATCGCAGCTATATATTATGTATCTTACTCAGTGTGTGTTATGCACGCAGAGGCGGATATACCAGTCTCGGTTTTATTTATATACATGCGTATATAAGTGTACATCGGCATCGGCATAGAAAATCTCGACAATTTTTATTCTTGACGCACGCATATTATAATCTTACCTCGTGCAAGCCAGCCTCGGACGCAATCGGGCGTATTACAATCGTTTGCTTTTGCAGCGGTAGCTAACACACGTTTGGCATACGTTATATATGAACGCACGCTCACACTCAAACAGGCAGAGTTTACGTATATATATATCCTAAGTTAGTGTGTATATGGACTAAACCATAATATGCCAAAAATTTAGAATGTAACCAACAATGTACTTTAACTCTCATTGGGATTTTCACTTTCAAAATATTATTCTGTTTTTGTAACATGAACATAAAAATATATTTAAATAATAATTGTTTCTGTAACATTTTATGAAAAGTTTTATAATGTTGTCAAAAATCATTTTCATAACCTCCAACTTCTTCAAATTGAAAGAGAAGCATAAAAATCCAAAAATAAACTTGTTCGTACTCTTTGAATAGGCAAATATTCAAATATGTTTTTCGAAGAATATAATTTAACCTTATTGTCTTACTAAGAAAGATATTTTGAAGGCATTTAAAAACTGATATTTTCATGAACTTTTTTATGTTTTTTCAACCTTAAAATCCTGCCAATACCAGTCTATTGTACTATTAGAAGAAGATGAACAAGTTTATTATTGGACTCTTGTGCTATTTTTTCAGTTTTAAAGGGTTTGAGTGTATATAAATATGCGTTTTGATAAATTTTTTTAGTTCTTTACTCAATATTATATAAAGAATCAGCATTCCAATTCACCGAAAGGAGGATTTTATCAATTCAATGTACTTTTCAAGAATGAGTATAGATACTCAATTTAGTTTTTTGCCATATCCAACTCGTGGTTTAAACCATATATACTGTACATATATATATGGCCTACCCCCTGTTCGAGTGTAGCTCTGAGAGTGCGTACATAGCTCGTACAAAGTACTTTGTGCCGCGCGCCTGTACCGGAGCTATAGCAGTTGTTACAAATGATTTCCTCAATCGACTGAACAGAACGTACGACGCCGAATGCGCCAAGTTAGTGTGTATGCACGTGCATGAATGTAACAAAAGAAATTGTTAGAAAAATATATATGTATGGAGCTGTATCTCGAACAGAAACGATGCGTTTAACTCGAGTATACGAGAAAACCGATTTACAAAAATATCACCATATAAGGTATGAAAGCTTTTTTACGCGAGGTCGAGCTACTTTGAGCTCCTAGTTGTCGTCGAAAAGTCAAGTCAGTGATATTTCTCGTAAAATCCACGCTGATGTAATAATCCCCGCATTATTGAGTTTGACCTCTAAGGATCTTTCGTTTAGTCTGCAAAGAACACGAGTAACGAGTTGCGTATCGCGAGTATAGCACGGGGTGTTACAAGGACAGTTCAAAAACTAATTTGTGCCATTGCTGGACGGCAAATGGCATGACTGTGTTGCAGAATCGCACTAAGTGCGACAATGCTTGGCTTGCCCCACGCCTCTGCTACTGTATGCTGCACAATTTCAGCATTAATTTTTTTTGCGCGAGCACAGGCACAGCGCTACTACTTCCATTCTATTTACTTTTAACAAAGTTAAAAGCTCGACGTCCGGGCGCACACGCGCGTGCTCGGCAAATTTATAAATTTTGAAAGTTCAGCTTTGCTATTAGCGAGTTCTTTCTTTCTGTATGCGCTCGCGACTGTTATATAGCTCGAGCAGAGCTGCTCGTCGCGCGCCCGAGTCGAGTAGCTGCAGCAGCAGCAGCAGCAGCGAGCTATATATGCAGGGCGGTGCAGTGCGCTGACAACGGCTAATTAAAGTTCAACTGTAATGTAATTCTTCCATAGCCTGTTTTAACGCATTTACATTTCGTCGTACTCGAGCTGTACAGTAGTAGAAGCTTCGGCTCTGCTCTAATCTCGTTCTGCAGGAGCTCGCAAGCTCGTTGCTTTCGATACATGCGCGTTATAAAGAACGCGTAAAGCTACGTATACCCAGCCGCTCATCGTCCTCGTGAAATATACCTTTGAGTTCATGGTCGATAAAACTGAAATTCCATCTCGTATGATTCGCCACCGGCTCTGATGCACAGCTGCCTCTCGGTGAGCCGGCCGCGATCGACTCCGATGGAGGAGGTCAATCACATCGCGATAACAGCGGATCTATATGAGGTCGTAAAGTTGCCAATAAACGAGCTATTCAAGAGCGTAAAGCAATGAGAAATAAAAGCGTAAAAGGAGAGAGGCGTATCGAGCGCCGAGCAGAGCACGAGAGAAGCCGAGCGAACCAGCCAAAGGAGGAGTAGGAGGGATGTATAAACGTCGATAAATGCGTATAGTCTCTACATCTTTCGGTATTCTCAATTGGCTTCCCTACCATTTTGTGTCAACGGCATGCAACACTAGGCACCTGGGCTCTCGCTCGCCCTAGACTCGATGCGATTTGCGCGCTGAATAATCGAGTTTTTCTCGCCTTTATTCTCTTTCTCTCTCGTGGCTCGTGGCTCGTGGCTCGATCGACTACCACGACGATGACGAGTGCACACACATACACAATGTCACTAAGCGTCGACGATGTTGGCTGCAACCCGCGCACGAGCGTTGGTAAACTCAATTTTAGCCGATGCTATAGCTCGCTGCCACTGCTGCTGTTGCATTTCTCTTCGTTTATCTCCGTCCCCGCCGCTCTTAGCGTGTGTGAGCGCGTGTGTGTGTGTGCGCGCAATTTCTCGAGCATGCTCGTGTGCGCACTTTTTTCGCGCTTGCCCAAGCATGCGAGTCTGCGTTTGTCTGTGTGGCTACGAGGCTGTGAGGCTGTGAGCTTCGAGCTCCCACAGGACTATCATATCACGAATGCGCGTCGGCGCTAAGGATCGATGAAAAATGTGCCCGAGTCAGCCAGGACTGCCGCACGTCCGTGTGTGGTGTAGATGTGTGCGTGTGTGCGCTTGGCGAGTCGACTCGAGACTAAAATATACGAGCCTTAATAGTTTAGATAAAGATCGATGACGCCGTACGCCACTGTATCTAGTACATATTATAGTGGCCAGAGG